ACTATTCGAGCCGTTCATGCCAGACTGGGGAGAGAGGTGTTGTAATAATGTAAAATATGTGAAAAAGAATGTGTTTTTCGAACAACCTAGTATGAGAGCCTGTTCTAGTACACCCCAAAACAAAATCAAGACTTTGTAAAAGAGCATAATAGGACCCCTTTAAGCTAATTCACAACCCACACATGTATATTTATGTGTGTGTGAATAACTTTTGCACCAACTCTGTGTCATCTGTAGCAAAGCTTTTAGGTTGTGTTTGAACTAAAAACTTTAAACTTGACTTAAAGTTAAACACCCAATTTTATTCATCAATTATTTATCTATTTATTCACCCTCAACCTCATTCTTCTGCAGAATACCAAAGAAAAAAAAAAGTAAGAATTTTTGTTACCACTGACTTCCATTATATGGACAAAATCCACTGAGACCTTTCTCAAAATATCTTGTTGCATGTTCCACAAGGAAAGAAAGTCAAACAAGTTTGGAATGACACGAGGATGAATGAATGATGACACACTGCTCATGTTTTTTTTGAGTGGACTCTCTCTAATGTCTTTGCTTCAGTATAATGAAGATCCTCAATAAGAACTACAGTACAATAGTGTTTTTTTAATACCATGCAAATACCCAGTTTTTTTTTTTTAAGTTTACAGTTAGATTTGCATGTTCTCAAGAAAATACCAGTACATGATATAAAGCAAAAGGAAAGCATTTTTTTTTCTTTTTCTCAGAAAAAGCTAAAGCAGACAGAACATTATGACATCATCAGCTTTCCAGACGCTGAACATTCTAACAGTGCAAGTCAATGGAAGACTTTCAAACTTTAATGTGAACTTTGATTAAAATATATGAAGTTTAAGTCAAGGGATAGTTGTTTTGATTTTACATTTAAATGTAGTCAAATTTTACATTTGACATCTATTTAACATTTAAAAGTGGCAGATACAATTAAAGTAGGAGTACATAAAGACCAATGTTACATTGATATTATTTATGCTGTATAACTGCAGTATAATGGTTAAAAAAGCTCTATTCATCTGTTTCATTCACATGACTTTTCCACTCAAGCAACATATTTGTGGCCATTAGCAGGGCACATTATTGGATTCCAAAAGACATGAACAGAGGTAACCAAGAAGAAACATCATAAATGGTTTAAATTAAGTCAATCCATCTCCAGCACCGGTATATAAATTGTGGGTTAAATATATATAAATGTCCATGAATGTTTGTTTTGGTAGGTTCTTTGTGTTAACTTGGTTTCTGGGACCTGGTATGGATCAAATCCAGTGATCAATGTTTTTCTTGGTTCTCTGTTCATGTGTTAGTGTGTCATCTAACAAATACAAATTACTGTACATTTTTTATTTTACATTTCTAGGGTTTAATTTTTTCTTATCTGAAATGGTTTCTACATAAAGATCAGCAGGGGTATGAATAGGCCCTGGCTATTGGCTGTTTTCATTCAATTTTATGTGTGCACTGCACAAGTTTTGCTTAGAAACACCCCACTTCATTTATTGCACAATTAATGCTTAAAAAAAAAAAAACTGACCAAAAAACTGCAAGTTTTGCAAATGAGCAGATATGATGTTTAAATACACCGAATAAACTTGTTTGAAAGAATTAAATATCAAAAGATGCAGCTGAATGAAGTTGAAGGCTTTTCTTCCTCCAGTGCTCTGTTATATGGCAAGAAAGTTTGACATTTAATCAATCACAGGATATAAATTGTGTGTACATCACCTGATTAACGAGTTTGGCTATTGAAATAATTCCAGTGAGAACAACCTCTCAATAGTACGACATATAATGCCATTAAAGAAGTATGTGTTTCTGTTCTTTTCCCCCTTTGTAATAGAACAGATGGCCTTCAGGCCCGAGTGGGTGTGTGTGAAGAGGGACACTGGGACAAAAAGGGCTAGCAGTGTATGATGAGGCTCATCTGAAGTTAATGCAGAACCCTCACCACTGCCTTTAAACTGCAAGCATGCCTGTTCTCACACTGGTCTCCTCACAGGTCCAGCAAGGGAACTGGGAGACATTTCTGTGCAACCATCAACCTTCCTTTTAGATTTTCAAAGTGTTTTACTAGTTAAAATTGAATGTAAAGCATGAGGAATTCTGTTTTCACTAGTTACAAAATCAGTTTTTATATCAGTGCAATAATTGTTGTACTATAATAACTTCCATTGAAATCCATTTTGCAAACTGCTTATCCATAGTAGGGATGCATGGGGTCACAGGGATGCTAGTCTCACATAGCCGTGTGCGTGATGTCTGAGGCTGAGACTACAGGGATGCTGAGGCCTATCCCAGCATCTCGGGCCGTATGCAGGGCAACAACCTGGATGCATGGCTACTCACATTACAAGCAAGTAATCAATTATACTCAATTATATGTCAATTATAGAAAACTGGAAATTCAGCCATACAGATATCAATCATTAAATAAGTTTTTTTTTTTTTAAATAGAAATTGCATTTTGGATACAAAACATCGGGATGAACTTCATTAGGGATACCAAGATTTTGTAATAATGCAAACATATGTGTGTGTATATATATATATATATATATATATATAGCATTTTAACAGAAAAAAATAAAATTATTTTGAGTCACATGAATTATAATTCACATTCTGCAAGTGATTAGATGTTAAACCGGCTTGCCATTATATTAGGATATTTCTAAGTAAGAGACATATGATCCATTGGTTAAAAGATATTATGCCCGCTATTCAGCACACAGCACCTGCTAACTAATAAAGAATTTACTAGCATCAAACACTCAGTGATCAGATCATGTGTTACAGCAGTGATACGAACACACTTCTGAAAGCAGTGTAATAAATATGAGTTTTCTCCACATGGCTTCCTCGTCCCAAAACCAGTCTTCTTTACCACAGCATTACACACATTTCACTGCGTGCAGACTATTTACCTTTTCGATGACAGCCGTGTTGACGCGCTTATGTTCAGCCTGTCGTGGAGATATATATCCTTATTTCGGTGCGATATTGAGTCATTTCTGTCTCAGAGACTCAACATGGCCGTTTGATAACGGCGTTGAGAGCGCACGCGCCAAACATCACAGACAGACATATGCTGACTGACTTCGGCTAACATTTTTCTTTTCTCAGACAAACATGGCGCTAACAGCACAAATGGTTCGATTCCAACGAAAATGTATAGCTTGAATGCAATGTAAATCAATTTAGATAAAAGTATCTAACAAATTCATAAATAATTTAAATGATTCATTTCTTATAGACATGGCAGAAACGCCATTGCATTTGCATGTCAAAGCCATATTGCACCAAAAATTATCATGCTTTTTGGCACATTTTGACATTATAAGAAACGTTTTATATATAAAATTAATTCAGGTATACATTTGTCCACATTTTGTATGTTTCTGTCATTACATGAGAAGAAAACATGGCTCAATAAGCATGAATTCATGCATTGTGTGCGCCTGTGTATGTATGCAACTTTTTTAGCCTTGTGTTTTCAAAATTGTAATTCTGTGCATGTGGTCACCTATTTAGTGCATCAAGTTAACCAATTAATGTCACCCAAAAAAGAAAATTTGCTTAAAACGATTCAGAGAAATGTAGCATTCCATCACTTGCTCAGCAATGGATGCTCTGCAGTGAATGGGTGCCGTCAGATTGAGAGTCCAAACAGCTGATAAAAACATCACAAGTAATCCACACCACTCCAGCCCATAATCAACAATAACACTTCCTCCACTGATCCAGATGAGATCACTTTTTCGCTGGAAAAAGTAATATTATGGACAGAGGACTCATATTTTAGTCAGAAGCAATGGTTTAACATTAAAAAATGTCCTAATGATTGATTTGTTTCTTAAAAACATGCAACTTTTCTCTTCACAAGATGTTAACCGAAGGACTGGTGTGGATTATTGTTGTTTTTTCTCAGCCAGACCATCAGTCTGACGGCACCCATTCACTGCAGAGTGAATGAGCTACATTTCTCCAAATCTGTTCAGATGAAGAAACAAACTTTAGTTTGAACGGTTTCAACATTGAGTAAAAATTATTTTTCTAAGGTGTTGTATACAGTTGTTTGTAAGTTTATACACCTCTTGCAGAACCTGCAAAATGTTTCTTAATGGTTTCCGATAAAAATTAAATGTTATTTTATTTCATACAGTCATGAATAAGCTATTTCAAAACACAGATATTTACGAGTCCACAAGACAAAATAATTTAAACAATGAACCAGTTAAAAAGTTGACACCTTTGATTCTTAATACTGAGTGTTGTTAGCTGAATGACCGGTGGTTGTATGTTTCGCGATAGTTGTTCATGAGACCCTTGATTACCCTGGGAAGTTATACTGGCAGTTCTTCAGAAAAATCCTCCTAGTCCCATTTTCTTTGGTTTTCCAGCATCTTCTGTATATCTGACCCCATTCCAAAAATAAATATATAATAGTTGAAACCAGGTTTTTCAAACAATTGTGGGACTCAATTCAGTTATTTATCCTTGTGGACTACATTTAAACATCTGTTATATGAAATAGCTTGTTTAAGGTAGTAAAAAAAAAATCCCTCTTTTTAATTATTCAAACTTGCCGTTTCTGCAAGGGTTATGTGAACTTCTTGACCCCAACTGTTCACTGAAGTTGGAGCAACATGCAGCAAAAGTTGTCGGTTTTTGTTATAGATTGTCCAGCACAGCATAACAAAACAGTAATCACCTTGTTGATAACTGACCTTAATTAACAACTTATCTAATTTGTCTATAACGTATTGACCACAAAATGTATTTATAGTGTCCATGGTGTCAAAGCTCTCAGCAGCTCAATGGAACATATGTTAAATTAATGTGTAATCTGCAGCCCTAGCACCAAACTAATAAAAAAATTAAATAATGAGCCATCAACCTACAAACATCTGTCGTGTTGTTTTCTCTGCATATTAAGATGGGATAGAATATATCATAAAATACAAACTGCACACTTCATCTTTGCTGTTGTAAACATTTTTCTATTATTGAGCTTATGTTATAATTTTGCTTTTAAATTTTAACTAACTGAAGTGACCTAAAGCTGACAGCCTGAAGGAAGTAATGAGACACCATTCAAGATTCAACCTTGAATTGGTCAGGCCAGAAGCCTTGGATTAAACAGTCAAGACTGTTGACTCTAAGGCTAAAAAAAGTAATATCTTAATATTCCCAGCACACAGCATGTTACATGATGGCACAGATACATTTTCACTTGCACTTTTCTCAAATGAGGGCACACACTCAGTAAGATCATTTGTTATTTTTACAATTTGCATGTATAACAAATAAACATAAAAAAAAAAGATTAGAATGATGTACAGTATTCTGCTGTGCACACCACTACATCCATCGGTTCTGTCCAATGGGAGCTCCTGAAGCAGGACTGCTCATTGGCTGCTGCAGCACATGGGGAGTGGTCAGGAACAGAGAGGAATTCTCATCAGTCCAGAAAAAGGAGGAGAAGGAATGCTCAGCCTTGCGTGTGTGAATGTTTTCTGGATGAAGGTAGAGAAGATGAAGGAGAAGCTCTGAGCTCAGTTGCTGTAGATCTGTCCTTCGGGAGGCTGCGGCAGCTTCATGTTCTCTTTGCACATCATGAGTCGTCGCAGCTCCTGCAGGACCACACGGATGCTGTACGAATTCTGCCACTTGGCCAGTGAGGATACAGCTCGCATGTCAACCTGAGTCAACCAAAGACGATGCATTAAAGTGCAATAAAAAAAAAGAATTTTTTTCCAAAATTAATCCATTAATTTTAGAGGTATTCTAAACAGTCCTTTAAGAATGGACCTATATGTCTGTTCCATTCGAGAAAAGCAACATACATTTTATTATGACTATAATTTCCAGTATGCAGAAAATGCGATATGGACTAGTGTCCGAGAATATGAAATGGCAAAAAGGCTGCTATTTAATATGAAGGCTGCATGTTCTGCGTGTCTCTGAGTGAATGAATGCCACAGTTTCGTCTACTACACATATTGAACCATGCGTGATGCTCGTGGTGTTTTCAATGTCTGCACTATATGAGGAGATGAACACATGAAATTCATATTTAGAGTCATTTCAGCAGCCGTTCACTTTGAGAAAACTATCATCAGATACACAGAAATGTTGACAGGGATACATTACTGTACAGTATAATGTACAATGTACTATTGTACAATACAAGTAATAACAATAATACAGTTTATTAACAAAAGTAAAGAAAAATGGCACAATTTCAAAATTTTTCTTCAGTGTTTATTTAAACTGTAAACCTCTGTTGTGCAGCACTTTGTTTTGCCAAAAAAAAAAGAAAAGAAATGAACCGTTCAAATTTAACATTTAAATTTAACATTTAAAATTACATAAAAAAAAAAAAAATAATGAAATAAATTGTTAGTTTATGCATTCATTTGATTACCATTTTTTGATATGTATTGAAAAATAAAAAAATTATGGGGAAAAAATAATACAAATAAAACATTTTACAGGGCCCTTTTATTGTTAAAATTGTAATAAATTATTAAATTGTACAAGTTATCATTTGATTAGACTTCCTTTTAATTTAAATCAAAACATTAATACTGTTTCCAGAAAACATTCATGTAAAACATGGAATTTGGGGGAAAAAATTTGAATGATTTCATAAGGCCCCAGACATTTCTAGATCTTTCTGCCAGAAACAAGTCTCTCACGTTAGTAATAAGGAGTACAGTAGTACAGTAAGCAAAAGTTAATATTAGTTGTCCTCTATAGTTGCTGCAGTGATATGCGATTCGATGATTCACATCATATCTATTAATATATTGCGCATTTTATAACTTTAATGGCTGTATTAAAATCTAGTACCAGAACCATAAATTAAATAACCTCACTTTAAAAACGAAAGATTTTTTACCAGCATAGATAAACGGCCTGGCTACTTCGTTTACCAAATTAAGACAAAGTTGCAAATTGAAAAGTGAATCTTCAATAAAATATTAATAGAATTTACTTAAAAACGACTACGTTACTTCATATCTCAGGGCTGCGTTTCCCAGAAGTATTGTAAGCTGACTGTAGAGCTTTAGCTCGAACCTTAATCAAACACACTTGCCTGTAATTAAGATCTTGATTAGATTGGTTAGTTGAGTTTGATTAGGGTTGGAGCTGAACTGCCCTGGGCCACGGGATATGCAGGACCTGACGCAGCTAAAAGTGGCTCCGGACAAGTTTTAATTGCTGAACGCGGGTGGAAAGATACTGATGTTTGCGCAGGAAGTGGGAGAAAGGTGTACAGTTTAGATATTCTCTATGTATGTGACAGCTAGGGCTGGGCGATTTTTCAGATTTGATCAGTTCATTTGAATTTAATGTTTTGCCACGATTTTATTTTTTAGAAAATCGAGGAATCACGATTTTGAAAGGAAATATTACCAAACGTCAGAATTAGACACTTTGACAATATGACAATGTTAACAGTAAAGAGAAAAGAATGATCCACCTGCATGTCGGCGAATGTGATTGACCATAAGGTGCCATTCACACAGAATGTGCTTTTGTGTTGACAAAGATGCGATGCGGGCAGTGGAATAGGAAAAAATTGCAGGTAGTTGGGAGTTGAACTTCTTTTAACTTAAGCGCAGCGTTTTTTGGAATGCCGTTTCATGCATGAGATGCTGCAATAGATGCGAGCGCAACAGTAGGCGCGTTTCCATTACCCTTCAGATTGCGCAAATTGAAATTGCGAATTGAAAAAACACCTAATAGAAACGTGTCAATTTCACAAAAATGCCCATATAATCGCAAAAAAGTTTTTACGCTCGCATGAGGTGGTTTTTCAGGCAATGCGAAAAAGGAATAATTCGCAAAACTGCAATGGAAACGTTTTTTTTCGCATTTACAGGTCACATGGAGTATGTAAAAAGTCATATGATCATTCTTCAATGTATTATAACATCCAAGAAACACTTCTTACGTGGCCGCTCTCCGGTATAAGGGGCTTTCCCTACCATTAATGCTTAGACAATTTACACGGCACACGTCTGCGGTGCAGTGTGGCTCTGAAAACGCGCCTAGTCAAACACGTCCATGTTCACATAGAAAAAACTGTGGAAAAGCAGCGCAACCGAATAAAAACCTGTAAAGAACTACTTCTGTATGTATGATATTTCATGTTTGCATCATGGTGACAGGCTGAAAGCTGCTGTTCATTGTTTTTACAGAACATTTATAGTTAATAATAGTCCACTGGTGTTTTACCTTCAGTCATTTTGAATTTGTATTACCTTGACTTTTGAGATTTTTTTAAAGCATTTTCCTTGTATTATTTCTGAACGCATGTATAAGACAAGTTGTACAAGATGTAGTTGTAATTCATGCATCTTTTCTGCAAAGATATTTAACAAGTGAATTTGTTTGACTTACACCATGTTGAGCACTTCATGTGTGGTGCACTTGGAATATAGCTTTCTTTAACCAGATGGTTCTGCATGCTTTTAATAAAGAGAACGTTACTTGATCAAGTTGACTAGTTAAAAATCGAGAATCGGTCAAATGTTCTGAAAAAAAAAAAAAAAAAAGGATTTTTTTCCCCCCCCCCATATTGCCCCAGCCCTAGTGACAGCACAGGGAAAACACTCTCCTTTTGGCTGTTGTGTCTATTTAAAACGATTACCGGTTTGATGATAAATCATGATAAAATTCCCCACAGTTAGTATTACCATTTCGAATTCGAATGTACCTCTGTAGGTTCTGACTGTCTTCAGAAAAGATTCCCTTTATTTTAAGGTGTCCTTGTTACAGTGTAATTATACATTTAAGTACTGAGTAATATTAGGGCTCGACATTAAGCCTTGACATGTGCTTGTCCTTCGGACAAGTAAATCAGACATTCACTTGCCCGAGTAAAAAAAGTTACTTGTCCGGGGTTAAAAGTTACTTGTTACTTGTAGTTGTAAAAAAAGCTTTTTTTTTTGGTGTAAATGTAATTTATTCTGAAGCAATAGTCTCATCAGTGCTCTATCAGGTCTTACTTTAATCAGCATATTTGTGATATTTGCCTTAAATTGATTTCTAGGACTTTTTAACTTTGTGAAGGACAATATTTTCCTGACCTTATTGAATGTACGTGTCATCATTTACGTCACATTCTTACATTTTAACAATACATTGTTAGAATAATAAGACACTATGGTTGTTACCATTCAAATGAAATCCGTATCAACAAACTCCATCTTTCCACTGCAGAGGAAACACTGAAGCTGCATCGAAAGTGCCATTTAGATGTATTTACTCAGACTGTTTCATGAAGATAAGAGGTTCCATAAATGCATTTACACAGTAAAATTGCAAATGCGTAAATAATGTTATAAGATGAATGTTTTACGTTTTTTAACATACATATATGAAATGTTGGAAAAATGCAATGATACTTTTAAATATGAAACCAAAGTTACCAGTAGGTGGCGGCAGATCACTGTAGGTCTTAACGAGTGAGTCACTGATTCAACAGATTCGTTCAAATGGCTGATTCATTCAATAAATTAAGCAAGTGACTGTCTTCATGAATGGCTCACTGAATCATTGACTCACCCGATTCGTTCAAAAATGCTGAATCATTCAGTAAGGAAACACTGTTATGTGTTGCTCGGAGATGCACATCAAATCAATTTCACATTTGCAATCGTGCTGATAGTCGGAAAAACATCACTCTTGGTCGTGTGATGTTGCTTACCTATATTATATAGAATATTAATCTTTTTTTTCTACCGCAGTATGTTTGTTTCTTTGTGTGTGCTGTTGCGCTTAGTTCTGATTTCTCTGCGGGTCACACAGGCTGCGTGAGCCTCAACTGACTTGCCTTGATACTGTCAATACATTAGCCGTTATCAGTCACCATTTACACTGAAAGTAATAAAATCTGAATCATTGTCGCCAAAGTTTCTGCACTGCCCTAGCTATTGTTTGTTAATGACGTTTTAATTGTTGTGGTTTTACAGGAACTCTTGGTACATACATGCATACAAATAACCATATATATATATGACACAAGATAGTTTGTGTGTGCCATTGCGCTAATTAGTTTAAATTTCTCCTCGAGTCAGACAGGCTGCGTGAGTCAATACATCATCCGTTATCAGTCACCGTTTACACTGAAAGTAATTAAATTCTCGCCAAAGTTTCGGTGCTATAGTTATTGTTTGTTATTGATGTTTTAATCATGTTACTTGTCCAGTCGGGCAAGTAAAATTCTCTTTCACTTGCCCCTTCACAAAATCCACTTGTCCCGGACAAGCGTTAATGTCGAGCCCTGGATTCGATGTCATTTTGTTTTCATCTTCGCGCAATGTAATACCTAATAAAGAAGTGTTCTTATTGCAATGCTTTGTCCACTGAGATTACAGAAATAGCTCTAATTTCTGCTGTTTGCCTTGATACTGTCAATACATTAGCCGTTATCAGTCACCATTTACACTGAAAGTAATAAAATCTGAATCATTGTCGCCAAAGTTTCTGCACTGCCCTAGCTATTGTTTGTTAATGACGTTTTAAATGGGTTACTTGTCCGGGCAGGCAAGTAAAATTCTCTTTCACTTGCCCCTTCACAAAATCCACTTGTCCCGGACAAGCGTTAATGTCGAGCCCTGGATTCGATGTCATTTTGTTTTCATCTTCGCGCAATGTAATACCTAATAAAGAAGTGTTCTTATTGCAATGCTTTGTCCACTGAGATTACAGAAATAGCTCTAATTTCTGCTGTTCCATAAGCGCCACCTAGTGTCAGAGAGTGGATTTACAGAGAGTTAAATGTACATTCAGCCTGTGTGCAGTGTGCAGCTTTTGTCTGGCCAAAAAAAAAAACCAAACCCCCCGGCAGATTTTGCATGCCCTGCTGTAAATTTTGACTGGTTGATGAAAAACAAGCTCATGTGGATTCTAAACATTTAAACAATTTGGATAAGGCATTCTTTATTTCTAGAATTATTTTTGGAGCAGATAAAATACAATAATTTTGACAACCCTTTTCTTTATTTAAATGCTGAAATGTGGGGTTTACCATTTTATGAAACTTTATTCGAACATTTTGTACGTGTTATTAGATAAACTGTTGTCAGTCATGTTGTCTGGCATTACTTAGTTGTGAAAAGGCAGGGAAAAATCTTCATTCATATATTAAACACCGAAATATTTGGGTTGTTTTTAAGTTTCCGGTTGTGAACATTTCAGACAGGTTCAGTTTATTAGCAATTCAGAATTCCTTCTCTCAATGTATAGACATACACAATATGGTAAACAAAGGAATTATGAATAGCATGAATTGTGAAGGTCCTAATGAGACATGCATATGATAAAAGTAGCAGATGAGGAAGAACTTGAATATTCAGTACTCAGTTGAACTTACCACACCATTTGAGTTATGCACTCCATTCAAGTTGATCTTCGTCACAAAACGAACAAAAGGGGGCGTTTCTGGATATCTTGGTCCACATTCTACTCTTAGACTGTACATCCTGTTCTCATAGATGGTCTGCATGAAAAAAAAAATCATTATATAAGTACAATTCTAAAACAACATCACACTGATTAATCCCTTAATTAAAAACATATTGGTGAAAGTCATCAGCCTAAATACCCGTTCAAACCAAGAATGATAACTATAGATAACCATAACAATAAATATAACAGCGTCCGCACCAACGTATGATATTGGTCTGTTGCTGCAGTTTTGTCATTGACGCTTTAAACGTTTCTTTAAAGCAGGATGGATTGGCTGTCAATGTTTTAATTGTTCAACAGCTGGGAAAAAAATAATTCTGAAAGTGATTCCAATGATATTGGATTCTGCTATTCTTTTAGAATAAATGTTAAACAATGTAGATGCCTGGTTTGGCCCTGTAACATTTACAGCTCATAATAACAAAACATATTATGCCCTGATGAAAACATATTATGCCCTTATGATTAGTCTACATGTAAATACAACTGCCAAGTAATTTGAAGCCCCTTCAGATTGAGTTAATTAATTCCATATAACGCCCAAAATACAGTGGGTATAGAAATGAATCACCCCCCTTTATAATAATCATAATATTTACTCAGTGCATCAAATTTAACTGAACTTGAGCAGTTCTGCAAAGAAGAGTGGGCAAATATTGCAAAGTCTAGATGTGCAAAGTTACTAGAGACAAATCCCAACAGACTAAAGGCTGTAATGAAAGCAAAAGGTGCTTCAACAAAATACTGACACAAGGGAGTGTTACTTTTTCCAACTGTTATATCTTTCACTTGGATACTATAAGTTGCACTGAGTAGGCTAAATACAGCTGGATAAAACTAAAACTGTGTCCATCTTCATTTCAAGATGCAAAGCAACAAAATGTGATTTTTTTCTGTACCCACTGTATACCAAAAACATGTTCTAGAATGGTTCATGAAAACTATAAAGAAAAACATATTTGGGTTTTAATGGTAGATTCAAAAGTGCATTTCTACACAATTCCTCAAAGAACTGGAGCTTTTTCTTCAATGATAAGTTTTGCTACTTCTGCTACTTCTACTTCTCTGCTCGTGCATCGTTAGGAATTTAACGATTCCAGTCCCATAAAGATTCCATAAACAATTTATATTATTAGTTAAACAAAAACAATGTTAACTTTATGTAATCCACACTTTCCACAAACAGTTAATAGCAGTAACTGTAATTATACACTGTAAACAATTGCTGTAGTTTCTACAGTAAAAATTTACAGTATATTACTGTTTAAACATTTTACAAGATGTAGCTGTAATTCGCAATGCATTATGGGCCAAATAAGGTTTTACAGTTGTTAACAGTATATTTCCATGTCGACTGTAATTCTTTTACAAGAAGCAGGCAAGTTGTCACTAGCTCCTGGTTTTTACACGAACTTACTGTAGTGTGGTATTATGGGATTGCGCGTTTCATTCAAATCCAGCTGACTGGAGCAGCTCGAGAACGATTGAAGATTAGAGCTTTATTCATAATTCCTGGTAAATTCACTTAATTTTACTTTTATTTATTTAAGTTAATGTATAAGCCATATCATGTTACAATAGCCTGCTATCACGACATTTAGACAAGCGGCCTTGGTATGTGCAGTAAGCTGGAAATTGCCATCATAGCATAGTTAGGCTAAATGCTGCATTTTTTTTTTCATTTTGGCAGTTTAATTTTCTTATTGAGAGCATTTAAAGTAGTGTTTACCCAACTTTTAACGTAATGCCCAGTGTGAACGATTGTCATAGTAACTACTATCTGTCGAAATAACTGACAAATAGCAAAATATGTGAAATTTCATTTGTTCATATGTGTTAACTGTCCCATACTGACGTGACAACTTACTATAATTAGAAACTAACGTTACATGTAAATGGGTGTCTATTGCCACTCTAGTTGTACTGACATTAAAGCTGGTCCGGGACCATTTTTTAGTGAAAGACATATTTACATACCCGATTGGACAAGTTAACCTGATTAAAGCTTGGGTGAGAAAAAAAAAATGGAAAAAAAAAAAAAAAACTAGGGAAGCAGAGACTGATTCTGATTTTATTACATTCAACATCAAAACAAATAACCTTAACGGCACACATAAACTCACAAGAAACATGAGGTAAATGTTCAAACTGTTGAGTTTATTTATAACATATGATATTGTTAAGGAGCATAAGCGAGCTGTTTTGCTGATTATCACGATTGCAAATGTTACATAGTTCAATACACAATTAGTTAACATTGTTACTTACTTTTTAGACACAATATTGACTGTTGTTCTATTTAACCAATGAAAATCGTTCCAAACAAAGATCAAAGCAAAACTCAGCGGTGTTTTTACTGAATGATTCAGCATTTTGAACAGATCGGTACAATGAATGACTCAGTTGTATTAGGTAATGTATTCTTATTAATTCTGTTGTAAATCATTTGATAAACTTGTATTTTAGATTACATTTTATATTGAAATACTGTATTGTAGGTTACATTATGGCTTGTATTTATTCATTTCAGGTGCACCCAGTGGCTTTTCGGGGGTCAGATGGTTGTGAATTCATACCTTTGTGGCTGGATTTGCAGTCTTATTACAAGTTCAGTCTGACGTCCCGGGAGCAGGCATCTTTTGCACACTTGAATTTTTTCAAAGGTAACATGTTTTACTTGAGTAATTTCATTTGTGAAAAAGGTTACTTATTTAGTTTAAGTACTGGCAAATGCTGATTGTACTGTATAAATGGCATTTTTACATTCATTTTATTGAGCTAGTTTCATTCAATACTGAACTTTATTCTAAAGCTTCTGCTTGTTTTTATGTGCAGATGTTTTGTTGGAATCACAACACTCACTGGATACAAGACGGATACATAGAAGCAAAACAAGTGGAAAGGTCTCAGAGAAGAGGGACAACCCTCATGTGAGTGCTCATCTCAGAAAGTTGATGGACTTTCAGTATGTATTTATTAAATTGTCTTTTGCAGGAATATTCTAAATGTAATAGAACATAAGCTCAAACAACAGAATTTGTGGTATAATGTTGATTCCAGCATTTTATTTTAATCCCTTTTTAACCAAAATTATACGAATTCTGTTGATTGACCTTCATTTTTATAGAAAGTTAATGTTCTACTCAGAATATGGCTTATTTTTTGTGATATAAAAAGTATTTGTAGTTATTTTGTGATGCTATGTTATTTTTATGATAAGATTTTAACTGTTGAAAGACTGACATTCTTATTTTTACCAGTAAAAGCCTTGCAATGTCTTTCTGCCAGTTTTAATAAAAATGTATTTGCAACATCTTTGACTTGGTTTTTATTCATTTGTAAATGTATTGTGTTCAGAACCCTATCACTCTAACTAGTTTACATCACAACACTCACTGGATACAAGACGGATACATAGAGGCAAAACAAGTGGAAAGATCTCAGAGAAGAGGTACAACCCTCGTGTGTGCTCATCTCAGAAAGTTGATGGACTTTCAGTATGTATTTATTAAATTGTCTTTTGCAGGAATATTCTAAATGTAATAGAACATAAGCTCAAACAACAGAATTTGTGGTATAATGTTGATTCCAGCATTTTATTTTAATCCCTTTTTAACCAAAATTATACGAATTCTGTTGATTGACCTTAATTTTTATATAAAGTTAATGTTCTACTCAGATTATGGCTTATTTTTTTGTGATATAACAAGTATTTGTAGTTATTTTGTGATGCCATGTTATTTTTATGATAAGATTTTAACTGTTGAAAGACTGACATTCTTATTTTTACCAGTAAAAGCCTTGCAATGTCTTTCTGCCAGTTTTAATAAAAATGTATTTGCAACATCTTTGACTTGGTTTTTATTCATTTGTAAATGTATTAAGATAGTGCTCATAATAATGCATTTAAATCCATATTTTACAGTTTACAATTTACTGTTAAAATTAACCCTGGTGCCATTTTGGAGAGTATCCACTGAACGTAAACAGCATATGCTATTCTGTGTCAGCTGTGTCACGCGGATGGGTCCTTTTTGCTCTGTAACATCACGGGTGTAACAAGGTGAAAAATCTCCCCCAGAAAAGTATGAAAATGATAAAAAAAATTTTTAGAAGTAGTTATACACTTTGCGAACAAAGTCACAAAATTTCAGTCCAATGCGATAACATTAACTAGTATTTTCGGGAAAAATATTTTTTTTTTCAGAGCAAAAAGGACCCGAACACCACATGAGGGTTAAGATAGTGCTCATGATAGTGCATTTAAATCCGTATTTTACAGTTTATAATTTACTGTTAAAATTATTCTTTTCAGCATTTTCATTGTTAAATTATTAAAACATCATCTTGGATTTAGGGGTATTTACAGGATTTTATTGGCAACTTTAGTTGCCAGGTAAATACTGTACTTTAGTGAGATTACAAAATATTGCTGTAAAATAAACTACAAGTTTAATTCAATGTTACTGTAAAAATACTACAAATTACTGTACAGCAATTAACTAATTTGCTTTGCAATATTATACTGTAATCCATTTTACAGCAATTAACATCATTTTTACAAGATTTTATTGGCAACTTTTTTGCCAGTAACATCCTGTAAATTCTACAGTACATTTTTTACAGTGTACAGTTATATATAATATAGGGATCCCCCCCAATAGTCAACTAAACGTTAGTTGAATAAAAGAGGCTTAGTCGGCTAAAATTTTATTGGTCGGTTAGTCGCAGGAAAAAAGTCAATTTTACCTTAGAATTAAAACATTGTAAGTAGTAGCAACTTTACACAGCCATTTGCTCTAATGTTACCCTAGATAAATGGGTGCTATTAGGCGCATATCCAAGTGTTTGTGCAAAGTGTGGAAGCTATAGCGCGCTTACTATGTGAAATGGAGGTGCTGGCGTGATCACTTGCATTTTTTCCTTATAACAGTGGAAACAAAATATGCCATCATTTTTGCTCGTACAGATAAGAGTAATACATGATTCAAAACTGTCAAGGGTCTACTTTTATTTGTGTACACTCACAATAACAACAAGACGTTGCGCTTTTGTAAAACAAAGAAAACAAACAGGATGCGCTTTCTTTCGTCTCGGTCTCCATGAACTGGAGCGCAGCACAAAAATGAACCGAAACTCATCGTAGTGGCTACTTGCCTCCCAGACATGTTAAATGTATCTACAAAAAGCTCGAAATGTCTCATTTAAAAACACTAGTTTATTAATAAATAATTTATACATCTCCTTGCAATTTTTCCCAACATATAGTCATTACTTTTGCCGGTGCTTTGTGGAAAACTTTATGCGTGTGCTTGAGTGTGGAATTCTAAAACCTAACCTTCACTTCATTAAAAATTGAGAAAAAAAAGTTTCACTTTATTAAACATCTTTTCATAAGAGTCTACTGAAAAGTAAAGAGTCCTAATGGAGTTCAAGACATCAGTCCATCAAAATATGGTTTAGTAATAAATATGCAAAGATGTGAGCCAATCATAACAGCAAGGATATGAATTGAAGGAGAGACACTTTTAAACAGTGTTCAAACAGAGAAATGGCCAATTATTTCTAAATGATGAATGCTCTTGATGTAAAAATCATACCAAACATTAAAAGTGGATTTCATGGAATATTCTAAAATAAAGGCAATTCACCCCTTTAATATTAATGTCACAGTTATGGACTTTTTGTTGTGCTTTCTTATGTTCCAGGTTCCCCTTTAGTTCTTGTCTTCCTAGTTTCTGATCTTGTCATACGTTTCTTTGGTAAAGTATTAGTTTTCAGGTGTGTCTCATTCATTTACCCATTATAAATACTAGAGGTCGACCGATAGTGGATTTTGCCGATACCGATAGCTAGGTTGGACCACACTGGCCGATACAGATTAATTAACCGATAGTTTTAAAATTGATACTGACAGCATATAAATGAAAACTGCATAATGTTACGGAGTAAAATGTTGATCCAGGAAGTGGTATATGTCTGTGCAAGCTTTGGAGGTGTTGATGGAAGCGATTTACTGGATTTAAGCTTTGATAATCGTACTGAATATTATCCAGATGTAGTTTTTGATAATTTTATTTTCTCACCTTTTTGCTCAAAATTATGCATTTATGAAACCTTCAAGTGTTGATAAAAAAAAGAATGCTTTAAGCTAGAATAAAACTGATTTTTTTTGTATAAAAGTAGAGGCTCTGATCTTTATTTTGTTGTATTGCATATTCAAATATTCATACAGCAAAATATACCGGAGGCCATCAAATTTTAGTGAAAATCATCAAAATCGCTGCCGGTGGCAGGCAACTTTAAAAAAAAAATGCTGGCGGGGAAACAGTTAAAAGGCTATTCTGGATTATACTCCTTCATGGTGCGCATAATATAATACTACATGATACAATTCAATTCATGTGATATGGATTTTAGAAAACAGTTCAATAAGCATTTGTAACCGTGCTAATTTTTGTGAAATTCTGCACTCTTACATTTTGAATACTGGGGGCATTTTAACTGAATTCTAATAGGCTAGATCACACAGGGAAAGCTTGCACTCTGAAGAAATGTTTGTTTTTTTGCAAAGTAAGTGACATTCTCGATGTCAGTTTCCACAACGTTAAAACAATTATGATATCATCATAGACAATGCATATTGCACACCCCAAATGAAGTAATATGCCTTTTTTCCCCAGTAATATTGTTATTGGCATTTGGTTCTTTTCAGAAACATGCAGAGTGTTTCTAACAGAATAAACTCAGACTCTGACCTCTTGTTTTTCTGAGTAGGAACATGTGAAAAAAAAATTGATAGATTTACTCAGGCACAAGAATATGCATCTTAAATTAATTTAAAAGAGCTAATTAGGCTAGCAGAACTGACCCTAGGGGGTCCGATGATCATTCCTCTCCAGCGTGTGAGGGTCATGTCCTCATCGTCTTCCAAACCCCAGCTCACCGTTCCATCTCCAACACCCTTCTGACCCTCTTCAAGCTCCTCTAGCAGCCGGAAGTTACGGGGGACTTTCACGCCTTTGAAAACAAACGCACAATAATATAACTCATAGGTATCACACACACACTGGATGTGTTGCATTCAATTCAAGCGGCGTTCAAAAACATGTTTATTTAATCACAGGCAAAAGTTCACTTCAATAATGCACATAATAGATGAGTTTGAAGTTCAGTGTCTTTAAAAAAAAAAACAGCAAATGGAAAGGGAAAGCGCTACCTATATTATAGCTCTCTATATGAAGCACACAGACTTTATTAGAGCCAAAGAAAGACCAATGTTTCCCTGAAAAATGCACAATACACAATCTTCCAGCCTAGTTTGAAGTCATTATGTACATTAACAACAATTTGGGACAACTATAATGTAATTTAATGGAAAACTATGCGAATGGCGCTCCGTGGCACAGCAAGATTTCTGTCAACTGCATGAACATATCAATTCGCTTTCTCACATCACTAGCTTTGTTAGCGCTGGCTAACAAATGTATTAATGCAGCGGTTGGGGTAAGCAGATAAACATCAAATTTTCATTTTTGGATGAACTATCCCTTTAATGTTTGTCTGGGACAAGTGGATTTTTGGAAGGGGCAAGCGAAAGAGAATTTTACTTGCCTGACCGGACAACTAATCTGATTAAAACATCTAGCCAATTAGTAGAGATGCACCGATTGCAATTTTCTTGGCCGATTTCGATTTCCGATTTTTTGGAAGTGTGACCTGCCGATACCGATTTTCTTTCTAAGAAGTGACAGCATATACAAACAAATATCTATGCAGATTTCAATGCAAAAATTATTTACATAATAAAAGAAATTATTAAACATTACAATTCCCCCCAATCTGGACTAAGTTACAGATTTTCTCTCTCTTAAACAACTCTCAAAATAAAGTGCTCTGTGACTGTAAAGAGGAAGAAATAGTTAACTTAAAATGAGTTGCTGTATGTAACAAAACAGATGTCATTTCCCACTATGTTTATAAATGGTCATTTTTTCCCCCTAACCTTATTAAATGTGTCATCTTTCACATCAAATTCTTACTTTGTTTCAATTAATTCAGTTAGAATAATAAGAAACTGTAGAGTTGTTACCATTCAAATGAAATTAGTATTAAACCATCTTTCCACTGCTGAGGAAACAGAAGCTGCATCTGAAGTGGCATTAGATGCATTTACACAGACAGTTTGATGAAGCTGAGGTGCCATAAATGCATTTACACTGGAAAATTTCAAATGCATAAATAATTTTATAAGATTAATGTTTTACATATTTTTTTTAAAACATACAAATAAGTTGAAAAAATGCAATGATACTTTTAAATAGGACTAAACCACCAGTAGGTGGCGGCAAATGTCTATTTTAATGAGTGAGTCATTTATTCTTTCATTCAACCGATTCATTCAAACTAGAGCCCGACCGATATGGTTTTTTTGGGGGCCGATGCCGATACCGATATTAGGGGGTAAAAAAAGACAGATACCGATATATCGGCCGATATTCTTTATGTGTAGGCTATATTATTGTACAGTATAGTCAAAAGTTTGGACAACTCCCATTCGTGTGTCCAAATTTTTGACTGGTAATGTATATAGAATACAGTATATAGCCTACATAAACAGAATATATATATACATAAACACATTTTTTGCAATGATAACTCACAATGTGGTGATCAAACACTTATAATGATGTGACAAACATAGGCCTATGTAATGGAGGCAGGGTATTTAACAATTTAACAATAAACTTTATTATTCAAAATGAGTCTGACATAGGCCTGGGCGATAAAACGGTATCGATATTTATCGACGGTACACCTTCGATATCGCTAGAAAATTTTTTCGACATAGCGCACGATATAGGCACGTGCTATGAGTGCTATGAGACAGCACACACAAACACATGCTGAAATGAGTGCTGTGCCTGCCTGTGATGAGGAGATTGTGAATAAAGAATGAATATTAGTTGAATTTAAAATAAACATTTGCATTTGAATGTTAGGTGTGCATCAGGGAGCGTCATCAGTGGCATGCGAGATGCGGTGATAATGATTTAAGTGATGTTGTTGAATTTTAATGTTTTGCTAGTCTAGCCCACGAGACGCGCCGCTGCTACGTTATTCATTCAAAATATTAGAGAAATATAGAAGCTCCATGCGGA